TCGGACCAGACCTGTCGAGGCTCGGAGAGTGGACCAAGCCGACTGAAGGCCCAATGCGGACGGACCAGTCATACTGTAGACTCAGAGAGTGGACCAGGTGGGTTGAAGGCCCGCTGCGGGCGGACCAACCACACTGCAGACTCGAGGGATATGGCTAGACTCGGAGGGTGGACCAGGTGGACTGAAGGCCCGGTGCAGCGTACCAGTCACACAGTAGACCCGAAGTGCATGGTTGTTATATTATGTTATGATATGTTATGTGTATGGTTTATGTGGTTGGTATTTTGGGTGTATCTCACTAAGCTTTCGGGCTTACAGTTGTGGTTTAATGTTTTTCAGGTACTTCAGGAGACCGTGGCAAGGCGAAGGTGTGATCGTACCGCTCCTCATGTTTATGTTTTACGATATGGCTCTGGGAAGACTCTGATAATAATTATATTGAAAACCTTTTTGTAATAATTTAACAAAACTGAGTTGTTTTTGAAAAGTTTAAATTGGTTTGAATTTTTAGAGTGTCACATATATATGTTTGTGTGTGTGTGTGTGTCCCACCTTCACGCCTCTATGATTATGATTTAAATCATATGATTCATAAATGATATAATCCGAACTACTATGAATCAAAATGATATAATTTATAATTTTATGATAAAAAATGATATGATTGGAAATTTTATCATACAAAATTATATGATTCAAATTTTCATGATACAAATTAATATGATCCAAAGTCATATAATGCGTAAAATCTTTTTGATTTGAATTTTTTTTAATTGTTAAACGTCAAAAAACTCAAACCAATATTTAGTTTAAAAAAAAGATGAAAAAAATAAAAATAAAAATAAACAACACAAGTTACTTCAACGATGTAGTATGAAATTTTCATGCCTGAAACCGGGTTCCCAACCGGGTTGGATGAAAATTCCATGTCTAAAATGCCACAACAAACATTTGTTTTTACAAGAAATTTTTCTCTTACTAGGTTTTGCGATATTATTGGACTAAATGCATAATTTCAAACAAAAACGTTATATTGGATGAGAAATGATATATATTGTTCAACACAATGCATACTTCCACAAAATCCGTCGCTTTTGATTTTCAATTTTGTAGTAGGTTGCATATTGCCTTTAAAAAAAAATTGAAATATTTTAGCTATTTGATAGTTTATAATAAAAACTAATTATTTTGAGATATTTTATAAAAACTGATTTTTTTCGTTTTCTACACTATTGTTAATAAAGTGTTGATAAATAAAAGAAATATGTTTATTTATATTTATATAGACTAGTGGTATAATTATATAATAACTTTTAAAAAAACAAATAAGATAGTAATTTGAAACTATTTAAAACATATACATGTATAATAAAAACTACAAGATTAAATAATTTACAACTATTTATAAAAAACTATGGGTGTAATATGGAACATCTATACAAATCGCAGGGACTGATATAAAAATATTTAAATAAAACTTGAAATGAAAATTTGCCGTCTGTCCATTTATTTTAATATTAATAAATTGTACATGTCAATCAACCCTTTGTCTTTCTTTGTTTTTGTCGACCTTTCATTTATTAATTCGCCTTAGTTGTCTTGTCCATCGCCATAAATTCATTCTTGCTTCTTCCTAAAGTCTGTCACTCTTTCCTCACTACTCTTTCAACATTTCTCTCTCTCTCTCTCTCAAACATTATCTCCAAGCAATCAATCATGGTTGCAAAAGGAGACCAAGAAACTGGATCACCAGTCTCAGTCGCAGATGGGACTAAAAACTCCCTTTTCCGATACAATTCTCCTCTCATTCAAGTAGGTTTAATCGGATTAGTCTGTTTTTGCTGCCCAGGCATGTTCAACGCCTTATCCGGCATGGGTGGTGGTGGTCAGGTTGACCACACCGCCGCGAATAATGCCAACACCGCTCTCTACACCACCTTCGCCATCTTCGGCATTCTCGGCGGCGGAATCTACAACATCCTTGGTCCCAGACTCACCCTCTTCGCCGGCTGCTCCACATACATCCTCTACGCCGGATCCTTCCTCTACTACAACCACCACAAACATCAAGCTTTCGCCATCGTTGCCGGCGCTCTTCTCGGTGTCGGCGCCGGTCTCCTCTGGGCCGGCCAGGGAGCTATCATGACCTCATACCCACCTACCCACCGTAAAGGAACATACATCTCTATGTTCTGGAGCATCTTCAACATGGGTGGAGTCATCGGTGGTCTCATACCCTTCATCATGAATTACAACCGCGAAGATGCGGTTTCCGTCAACGACGGAACATACATCGGATTTATGGTTTTTATGACGATAGGAACCCTACTCTCGCTAGCAATTTTACACCCGAGAAAAGTAATTCGAAACGATGGGTCTCGTTGTACCAACATTACGTACTCCAATGTGATGACTGAATCAGTGGCAATCGCGAAACTCTTCACCAACTGGAAGATGATGTTAATCATACCGGCAGCATGGGGGAGTAACTTCTTCTACAGTTATCAATTCAATAACGTGAATGGAGCCCTGTTTACTCTTAGAACCAGAGGATTAAACAACGTGTTCTATTGGGGAGCCCAGATGATTGGGTCTGTAATGATCGGTTACATCATGGATTTCAGCTTCAAAAGCAGGAAGACGAGGGGGTTGGCTGGAATCGGAGTTGTGGCGGTGCTCAGCACGGGGATTTGGATCGGCGGGATGTTTAATCAAAGGGGTTATAACCACCATGATGTGGTGAGCAAGACGGTGAAGATTCTGGATTTCAAGAACTCCGGCAGCGATTTCGCCGGACCGTTTGTGCTTTATTTCAGTTACGGTTTATTAGACGCAATGTTTCAGAGCATGATTTACTGGGTGATTGGTGCTTTGGCCGATGATTCCGCCATTCTTAGCAGGTATCAATCTATCTATCCTTCTATTTCAAGCAATTCTTCTCATTGTTTGTTGAGAAAGATTTAGAATTCTTATAATAATGGTGTTGCAGGTATGTGGGGTTTTACAAGGGGGTGCAGAGTGCAGGAGGAGCAGTGGCTTGGCAAATCGATACGCACAAAGTGCCATACATGACTCAATTGATTGTGAATTGGGTGCTTACGACTGTAAGTTATCCATTGTTGGCTCTTCTGGTTATAAAAGCTGTGAAAGACGAAGATAAAGTTGCAGAAGAAGAGTCTCCTTCGGGTTTTCCAAACGCAGTAAAAGAGTCTAAAGGTGATTTTACAAAGTCTGTGGAAGAGTCTAATGGTGAGTTTACAAAGTCAACTTAGAAAGAAGAGGATAAAATAAAATTTGTTTATTGTTTTGATTTTTGTTTCTAAATGTGTTGGTTTTGTGGATAGGATGAGTAATACGTGATTAAATTGTAGATTGTCTTTCTTTTATGTGGGTTTGCTTTGAACAACCTTAAAAGTGTCATTTTCAACACATAAATGAATGATGGCATAAATATTCCCAAGGTTGATTTTTGGTGACCTAAATCAGGCCATACCACCTAGCCCAAGAAATATGATGAGACGGGTGAATTAACAAGAAGCCCATACCTTAAGAGGTATGATAAAACCAAGAAAACCCGTACACTATCCATTTTGGGAACACCTACACTATCAAACCTAATAGTTTAAACTTTTTTTTAAAAGTATGAACAACTCTAATTATTTATGATGATTGCCCAAGTTCGAATTTCCATTTGAGAGGGACTATAATCCAACTTTCATACAATAGTCGTTTGCGTTGCTAATCTTCATCACCAATCTTTTATGCCGCTAAACAATTTTTCAAACAATTTGTTGACATATTTCGGCCTATGAATATGATTAAACTTTTTGAGGAAAAGTTTGGTTGGCTAGACGTATAGACGTTATTTTTGTCGTTTCATTTCAATTTCTTACCATTTAGGGGAAGGGGGTGAGGGGTTGTGCAACATTTATTTTTATTTTTATTGTTATTAAAAAAAACAATCTAATATATACAAAACTAAAATTTTCATTAAATTAAATGAAAATTACCTGATAATAAAATACAAGACAAATGATGTTAAAACATAGGAATCAGAAGCATAAATATAACACCACTTCAGTTTATATACCAGCACCATCTTGCCCGACCATGACAATTTGCCAAAAGTTTACATAAAATAAATGCTCGTTCTTTTATTAGCGGAAAATTGCAAAACCAATGTTTAACATCATTCAATCATTTTAATGATTTGGCAAATCATGTCTCACTTTATTAAGCACAACGTCAAACTCTATTACAATGCTGTTTGTGTTCTTCAATTTTGTTTAGATTTGATCTTTGTTTTCGTAGCTACTTAAATTCATTTCAATGAGTAAACGTTGTGTAATTTTGGTCTTAAAAGATGACCCACTTTAGTGGATGCCAACCCTCGGATCCTCTGATACATCCGCCCATGTAAGAGCCAAAGTAACTTCTTTTATCATGCTCCATGGTATAATCAAGGGAGGCTTCCAAGCTCTACATACTAACCTCGGGGCAAGGGATGCGCCGAGGCCACCACAACATGTCGAGGTGCCTTATTTTCCGATTCTATATAGTCCTCAAGATCAAAGGTTTAATCTTATCTTTGAAACATGTGATTGCATGTTCCTTTGCTTTATTTTGAGCTTTATCTTGTTAATTAAATCATTTGCTATCATTTCACATGTTTATCATTTTATGACAAAATTGCAAAAATGGTCCCTGTGGTTAGCAAATTTATGTGCTTTTGGTCCAAAACGAAATGTTGGTGCACCACTAGTCCAAAATTTGATCTTTCTATTGTTTTTTGTCTCTATCAACATAAAAAGACTATTATACCCTTATATTTGTTTTTTTTTTATAATTTCTTTTATATTTATTCAAATGTTTTTTATTAATTAAAATTGAGAAAATCTCTCTCTCTCTCTCTCTCTCTCTCTCTCTCTCTCTCTTAAACGTAGAGTGAGAGGGGACATGCTTCTTAGTTCTTTATTCATCCTCCATCCTCACTCTTTCAATCAGACCCCCATATTCACTCTTTCCACTGATTTTGAAACCCAACGGATCTGTGATGTTTTCCCCTAAACACATACACACACATATCAAAAATTTTCCAGAAAATCATAACACAAACACACACACATCACTCCTCTGTTGAACCTGCAGTCGGGGCTAGAGTTTGTATAATGGATTCGGCCACCACCATCAATCTCATGTGATGAGAATAAATCTCTAGATTGTTTAGATCTTTCACAGGTATATTAATAAAGAACAAACAATTCAATCACAATACGACTAAGAACACAATATAGAATCAATATGAAGCTTATGATTCAAATGTAGTCACGCCTCAGCAGAGCTCGATAAAGAACTTTCACTGTAGAGGCGAGCTAGGGTTTACAATACTTTGATGAGAAAATAATTAAAGCGTTACCTACTAAGGATGTATGCATGCACCTTAAATACCAAAACCCTAGAATAAAATAATGCACGGTTGGACAGGCCCAAACCGGTTACAAAACTGGGCTAATAGGAACGAGCCCAAGACGCAACATTATAAGCCCAACAATCTCCCCCTTTGCGTCAATTGGGGCAAGACCTTCACTTCGGTTGATTGGCAGAAGTTCGCTTCACAACTTTGAACAAACATGGAATTACTGCAAGAAGAACTTGGCGAAAGTGGATATACCATCTTATCATATCAGTGAAGTACTTCTTGTCGCTTTCATTGTTCTGCTTACATTTGTGAATAATCCCAAGAACATACTCCAAGCACGATGTAGTAAAGAGATGTTTGTCTGTCAAAGCGAACAGGCATTCTTACCATCGTGTTTGGTGAACATCACAAAGTTTAAGGCCAGATCAATCTTTCCCATCTTCATCTTGTTGACGTCACTTGCAGAACCAACTGGCAAAACAGAGGGTTTCTTCCTGAGAACCAAAGCGACTTCTTGATCTATCTTAGCTACCTCTAGAACGTAGCAGACTAAAAATCTTTTAAGATGATCAATAATTGGCTCATACTCAACTAGGTTGGAGAGTAGAATGTTGTGCAGGACAATCTAATCATGAGGATTAAGATTGGGCAGATCAGCAAGAGAGAAGGTATGCTTAGACAAAGCAGATCCTCTTGTGACTTTAAACTTGACGTTGATGAACTTTCATGCTGCTTGAGGCTTAAGGACCCAAACTGTGATGATTTTCTGAGCGCTCCAAGTGATATATTGTGGTTGAGCGAACTCCAAGTAGTAGTCAATAAGCTCACGATCAACCTTCGGGTCTGGATGAGGAACTTCTGCAATGGGTAGAAAGCAGTGAAACACAAACGCCTTTCTGGTGATAGGCATGTCAAATTGAGAGTCTTTTGTGTTTGCACAATCCAAAGACACTAATGGCTCAAGCCAATGAGTGCTAGGAGAGTCGATGGCTTCTTTGAGTAGCTTCTCCAACGTCCAAAAGGGAAAAAGAGTTTTCTTGCTTTCTAGGAGATCATGAGCCTCCTTTAATCTTCTTTCTCTTTCTTCAGCTTCTTTTACAATTTTGGCGTTGAGATCAATTTCCCTTTCCCTTGCCTTTTGTTTCAAAGCTTCAATGATTGTTTCCTCTTCCTCATCACTGTCTTCCACTATTGGACCCTTGCCTTTATCCTTAGGAGCCGAAACTGAAGCATGCTCAGTCTTCTGTTGTTCCAGCTGTGAAGTGGGAGGAGGTTGAGACTTGGGATGAGGTTGAAACAAAGATGTGAGTCCTTCTCCCCCTTGTTTCGGAGGTACCATCGCCTCGGAAACACCATCAATGCGACTCAACATCCCAAGGGCAGGACAGAATTTGTCAGCAAGATGGCGTCGAACGGAAATAGTTAGGATAAGGTCATGAGCCTCCAAGACACTCAACAAAATAGTGTGGACATCGAAGACACAAATTATGACGACATCTTTTTCAGAGCGAAGTTGATTAACCTCGTTGTTCGCTTGAGAAAGTTGGAGATTCTTGGTCTTAAGCTGAGTAGTCTTGCGAGCAAGCTCATCCATGAGTGAGTTCTCGATGGCTAGATCATCTTGAAGTTTGGTGAAACGCTCATTGAGAGAAGACAGAAGAGAAACATTATCCTTCTGAATATCGTGGTGAAGATTGACAAAATTTTGCTTTTCAGCAGCAAATGCTTCTTCAAGCTTGGTGATTGAGTTGGTCAGTTTAGAAGCGTTCAACTCGGCTGCTCCCTGTAAGGACTCAAGAAAAATATTAGCATTTTCAATTAGTTTATCGACTTTTTCGGTCGCGTCTGTGCAAACTTTAGTTGAAGCTGTAACAGTTGTTGTGGCACGAGAGATGGAAGCGTCATGTGCTTTGACAAAGGTGTCAAGCATTTTCTGAATAGCAGATTCAGAATTGGGATTGTGTGAGGATGAGGAGGCCATGATAGTATCAAGTTTGGCATTCAGCTCCTTGATATGCTTTTTGGTAAGAGGAGCATCATCGTCTTCATTACTTTGAACACGGTAAGGGCTGTGGTAGAAGGAATCAAATTCCATGTCCTCTCCCCGTATCAGATACGTTGGTTTGAACTCTAGTGGTGGTTATTTTGGTTGCTTCAGTGAAGAGAGGAGTGGGAATAGGAATGGTAGAGGTAGGTTGGGATGTGATAACTGGGAAAGTTGTTGGTAAGGAAATTGGAGTAGAAGCAGGTGGAGAAGAAGGAGTTGGGGAGCGAACAGGTACCTCAGGTGTGGGTGATCTAGGTGGAGTATCACCATGAGGCGAAGCCTCCTCATCATAGCTTTCGCTCTCTGATTCGGTAGGAATATGAGGTTTGTTTCCTGGAGGAACATACTCAGAATCTGAGTCACTAGAGGATTGAAGAATAAGTCTTCGGGCTGGCTTTTTGAGCTTCTTCTGCTGGGGTTGTGAAGGACCAGTTTATTATGACTTTCGCTTCTTTGGGGTTTGCCCCTTAGCTTGTTTGCTGACTCTCACATCCTTTTGTTTTTCTGGTTTCTTTCCCCTCTTTGCAGGCTTGTCTGCTTCCTCTATAGAGTGAATCATGACAGGAGTGAGTTCCCTGGGTCCTGAAGAAGGAAGCTTCTTGTATTCTTGAATGACGTTACTTGTCTCAGACATATAGGCGTACATAGCTTCTGGAATTGATCCAATGAAGAAAAACATGGAAGGATCTGTGACGACGATTTTTGTTGTGTGAAACATTGCGATAGATGAAAGAAGGGAGTCCGCCATGATTGGAACATGGAGACGATCCATTGCCCACTTTGTGATAATAGACCAGTACCTGCCACATGAAATCTCAGAATGGCAAGAAGAAGAATATAAACTCTAAACAAGTTGTTGCCATATGGCCGCTCCAAAATCTAGATTTACACCATTGTACAACCCATAAAGCATAGTCATAAATGACTTGCTTGCACCGTCAGATCCAGCGCTTCGCTCATAAAGACCTTTGAACAAGAGAGTAAAGAGGCCGTTCCATTGTGGGGGAAGGCATGACTTTTTGAACTTTGTGACAGTGGTTAGGGTTTCAGTGTACCCCATTTGGCAGAACATCGAGAACAGCTGACCGGTAGTGATGGATTCAGGGTTTACCAGGGTTGGTTCGTGAGCAAGACCAAGTAGGGCACATAAACGATTCTTAGAAATCGAGGTCTTCTCGTTGTGAATGTCAAAGTGAATCCTCTCAGCAACCTTGTCATAATACGCAGTTGAATAGATATGAGAGAGGCAAGACATGGGAAGCACTTCCACCTTTGTAAGAGCATCGACAAGTGGAGAATATTTGATGCATTCTACCACGTACAACATATAGGATTCATAAACGAACGGTGTAAGGTCAATGATGAGGTTTTGTTGTGGCTTAATGGTCAGAAGGTTTGACTGAACAGAGGTATCTTGAACAAAAGATGATTCTGCCATTGATGAAGCTTGAGAAGAAGATGACGAACAGTTGAAGAAATCAACTTTTTCTTTTAGAAGATTTGTGAGTGGTAAAAGAGTAAAGTGAATCGTGAGAAACCCTTATATACGTGAGAGTAGGAGAGAGAAAGATCCGGCTAAAATCTCGTCCTTTTATGAAACGTTTCCTGACGCGATGGGGAGTAGATAGTTGACAACCCCGATGATTATGTAGGAGAGAGAAAAGATGTTTCACTTTTTACGTGTCTTTCCATAGAAAGTACCTTTTTTCAAATTGACGAAACGATTGGATAATTGCTGACTCATCCAAGTGCTTTATCCGAAACGTCACCCACATAATCTACATGAACCGTCGTCACCTTTATCTTATCGATCACCATAATACTTTTAGAACCCAAGCTGTATAAATTAGCTCATATTAAATAGAACCATACTTTTGGAAAATCCAAGAGATTCTTGCATAGAGTGTGAATGATAATGAAATAAATCAAAGTTTGTAGGATATTGTGATGTCGAATAAGACATGAAACAGTAGATCCCGGGCACGAATCTCTTCCTTTCAAGTCAAGAGATACTTCAAAGTGTCTAGGTGGTTTACCATTAGAATACAATCAAGTACCTGTTAAGAGGCAATGAAAGGCATCTTTTAGATATAAGGCTTGTAAGGGTGGCTTTCGCTTCAATTCAAGTTTCGGTACTTAATATAAGACCAAAAGAGAATGAAGTACTTGTGAGACCAATGTGGCCTATTGAACAAGTAGGTTTGATATGTATTTAGTAACGTGTTGAAACTAAGAAATCTCAAAAAAAAAAATATAACTGGATCCTTGGGGAAGAAAAGTCTTGGTGATAGACATTTCTAGAAGGATCGCTCAAAATAAAAAGAGATTTCATTTGTGAGAGCTAGATCATAGTAATGGTTCACCGTCAATGCATTAAGGGTTTTGAATTGTGGGTTTCACTTAGTACGTAGTGACACGAAACTGAGATTATTAACACAAATTTTTGTGTAACCATAAACCTCAGTGGTAAGTGCTAAGAGTCTCAAGGGTTACATTAGTGAGATGAAGTGTAATGAAGAAAAATGATGTAGGTGGTTTAAGAAGCGAATGTACCTCTGCTATAAAAGAAGGACCAAGCAGAAAACTCTAAACTCAATATGAGAAGAGTGAGGTAGCTCACGATTAGAGTGAATGTAACAGCCTAGGTTGGGAAAACATGATTTGTATATATCACATTATTAAGGCTTCACGCAAAATCTGTCGAGCCTTTGGTCAACATGTAGCAACATGCATCTAGGGACACTTAGCTAACTCATAGAAAAGAATTTATACCGGTTTGAGCTTCACCATCGAGAGTAGCTTTTATACAAAGAAAAGCATGAGAAAAATAAAATAAAAGGAAAGATATTTTTGTATTTTGAGAAAAAAGTTTATTAAAACAAAAGAAAAAGTATTTTTGGATTTTATGAAAATAAAAAAATGAAAAGAAAAACATTAAAATGAATATGGAAAAGAGTATACAAATGAATACAACCGAAATTCCTTTTAATGAGAAAGAAGCGAACGAGTTCAGAAGGACCGAACCCAAAATAGACCGAGCGTTCGGTTCATTTCGGTTCCTGGGTGAACCGAACCCAAAATAGACCGAGCGTTCGCTCTATTTCGCTTCTTACCTTTAGTGAAGCGAAGACGATTTTGGTACTGATTCTACTTCCATCATTCCTAGGCCTTGTAAGATCTTATTGAAACTTGCTTCAGGTAAATCCTTAGTGAATATATCTGCTAATTGATCAGTGGTTCTAACAAAATGAATTTCTACATTACCATCTTCGACATGATCTTTGATGAAGTGATACCGCAGTGCTATGTGCTTTGTCTTCGAGTGTTGCACTGGGTTATGACAAATCCTAATTGCACTTTCAGAGTCGCAATATAGTGGGATTTTCTTCATATTCAACCCATAGTCCCTAAGCTGACGCTGTATCCAAACAACCTGAGATGTGCATGAGGCGGTGGCTATATATTTAGCTTCAGCCATGGAGAGAGAAACATAGGTTTGCTTTTTTGATTACCAGCTAACCAATTTACCATCAAGAAATTGGCATCCTCCAGTAGTGCTTTTACGATCCAATCCACAACCCCCTAAGTCAGCATCTGAGAATGCTTGGACAAAGAAACCTGAGTTGGCTAGATACCATAGACCGAGAGAGGAAGTTCGCTTTAGATAGAGAAAGATGTTCTTTACTGCTAGCATGTGTGGTTCACGAGGGTTAGCTTGGAATCAGGCACAATAGCAGACTGAGAACATGATGTCTGTCCTGCTGGCTGTGAGATACACCAGTGACCCAATCATCTGACGATAAAGCGTCATGTCAGCAGCTGGCTTCTCTAATGATGGAGTAAGCTTAGTTCCAAAAGCCATTGGGACTTTCACTTTGGAGTCTCCCATCATGCCAAACTTGGAAAGCAATGTCCTTGTATATGCCTCCTGATTGATAAAAATGCCTTCGGGTCCCTGTTTAATATTTAAGCCAAGGAAAAAGTTAATTGGACCCATTGAGCTCATCTCAAATTTAGTTTCCATCAACTTCCTGAATTTAGCTATTAGATTTGGATTCGTGGAGCCGAAGATGATGTCATCAACATAAATTTGGACTATCATAAGGTGGTTACCCTCTCTCTTACGAAAGAAGGTTGGGTCAACCGAACCTTGTTTAAAATTTGACATTTTTTAAGAAACGAGTGAGAGCTTCATACCATGCTCTGGGAGCCTGCTTCAGGCCATAGACAGCTTTGTCTAGAATATAGCAGTGATCCGGATGCTTGTCGTTCACGAAGCCTGGCGGTTGCTCAACGTACACAGTTTCTTCAAGTTCTCCGTTGAGAAAAGCACACTTTACGTCCATTTGATAGACCTCAAAGTTCTTGTGTGCAACATAAGCAAGAAAGATTCGAACGGACTCTAATCTTGCAACTGGATCGAAGGTCTCTTCATAATCTATACCTTCCTCTTGACAATATGCTTTCACCACCAACCGGACCTTGTTGCGAATCACATTCCCCCTCCTTATCCATCTTATTTCTGAATACCCATTTGAGACCGAAAACCGAAGCATCCTTTGGAGTTGGAATTAGATGCCATACTTTGTTTGTTTCAAACTCGTTCAACTCATCTTGCATGGCTTGAACCCAATCATAATGATCATGAGTTGAATTCACCGTCTTCGGTTCAACTTTGGAGACGAAAGAGTTGAACATGAAAAATTCTACTTGAGAGAATAGTACAACTTGTTTCGCTTTCAGTTGTGACCGAGTTAATACCTTTTCTGAAGATTCCCCAGTGATTTGACTTTGAGGATAGTCTTTGGTCCATTTAATGAGAGGAGGGTAATTTGGATCATAAGAGGGATCCAGTTCTGCATTGACTTCTTCTTCTAATTTTGATTGTGTATCATCATCATTGACCTTCGTATTCTCCCCCTCGAATGATGACACGAGTTCAATTTCTGGATCAAAACGCTCCCCTTCGTTTGGACTTTCGGTTGAGCTATATGATTACGACGATGAATTCTCCCCCTGAAATGATGAACCCTGATTATTTGGTAGAGACGAACCCTCCCCCTGGATAGAAGAACAGTCACCAGAAGGTTCGCTTGAGTTAGGCCTTTCAGTTGCCTTTGGTTGTTCAGCTGCCATCTTTTATGCATCATCGTTAATAATTTGCTTCAAACTGTCGACTCTGTTATCTTCAGCCTTGGATTCAGAATCAATAGCTTTTTCTGGTTCATTGAAGAGAAACATATATTGTTCGAAAAGATTTGAAATAGGTACAGTGACTTGACTAGACTTTGGAAAGATATCCTGCATTACACCTTCAGTTGTCTTCAACCTCTTGACATAACTATCATCGAAAGTGACATACTATGTCTCTTCAATCTTCTTTGAGCGTTTATTCAGAACTCTATACGCCTTAGAGTTCAAGGAGTAGCCCAGAAAAATCCCTTCATCGGCCTTAGCATCAAATTTGTTTCTATTCTCCTTTGAGTTGAAAATGAAGCATCTTGAATCGAACACGTGGAATAACTTCACATTTGGCTTACGGTTGTTCAAGATCTCGTAAGGAGTGATTGAGAATTACTTCTTTAGATACGATCTATTCTAAGTGTAACAAGCAGTAGCAATAGCATCAGCCCA